GCGGGGGCGGGGCGCCCACGGGCTGTGCGGTTCTCCCGTCGGGAAGGAGAGTGCACCTGCCCCAGAGCAGAGGGCAAGCAGTGTAATATATGATATATATTCATGCTTAATATTAATGCAAAACCACAAGAACAAAAGAGTTTTCTTAACCTCTCAGCCTAGTAATTGCTTACATTTTTAAAGTCACAGACGTTATGGACAATTTTTCCCAGAGTGGAAACAGTCACAAATAAGCTTGCTCTGGTGTGCGGCCCGCGTTGTACCCCTCCAAACGCTAACGCCTATCCTCACGCCCCAAAGCTACCCCGCCTCTGCTCCCGGAGCCCGGAGCCCGGCCCTGGACCGGGAAGCGGTGGAGAGAACAGAAGGGGGGGCCAAAGGGACGGGCCATTTCAGAGGCGCAAGGACTGAGTCCAGACAACCCCGCCTCTGTCCTCCAGGCTGCGGCCTCGCCGGCCCTCTGAGCCCTCCCGCTTCTGCGCTCCAGCACCGGCCGCTTACCCTCCCCGCCACCCAGACATGGCCACCGTGGTTTTTCTCATTATATTGCCAATATGCAATCTTTTTTATGGCTAAAAAAAAAAAAGTAATAATCTCCAGAAATAATTATGCATAGACTGAGTGTAAACAGATGCACTTTTTTCAAATGTCTATTTTTTGGAAAGCCTCTTTGGAATTGCAAGTAGCTGTCTATTTGGAAAGGTGGGGTCAGGGGGAAGGAAACTAGTTTATTATAGAGTGGTTCTGCAGAGTGAAGTTTTAAGAGGTGAAAGGGTGGTATTGAGCTGCTGCAGCTTAGATATATATGGGAGGGAAGAAATGGGAATGTGTAGAAAGCCTGTTCATTGTATTTTGACATTTCATGTACCGCAAAATAATGTGGGAGCTTGGGGGGCAAGGGACGACCCCATTATATTTTTATAAGTTGTTGTTTTTTTCTCCTTTTCGGTGCTTTGTTTAGCTTTAGCATTTAGGAAAGTTAGACAACTATTTCTCTTTCCTTCTAACTCTGATGTGCCAGCTCTGTCCCAGGATAGCCAGGGCACCCCAGAGAGGAAGGAGAGAGTCTAGGAAATTGATTATTAGGGGAGAGAGATCCTGCTGAAGGACCCAGCTGTCCCCAGATGGGAGGCCTGTGACATGGGCTGTGGAGGTAAAGGGCTGTCTCCTGCAGCCAGCTGCCTAAAACTGGCACCACAGTCAGTGGCAATTCCCTCCCTCCGCCCCTCCCAGCTCTGGTCAGTAACCAATACACCGGGGTTACACTTCTTGCTTTGCACTTTAGTGTCTTGGCTCTGGAACAAAGTAGGTCATTGGTGAGACAGCTGACAATCAGTTTGTACTGGACATGGAGTTTCTCTTTGTCTTTAGAGTATCCCCAACTCCGGGGAGACAGAGATGAGACACTGGGAACCTAACTCCTCACTAAAGCACCTCCCCACAGGGAATTTTCTCCCGTTCCCTGAGGCACAATAGCTGATGCCTACAGAAGCCAAGACAAGGATCTAGAAGGGTTTACGTAAAGAAAATGCAGTAAGCAGCCAAAAAAGGATTTGGCTCTGGGCTTTAGGACAGAGCTGTTTACAGTCCGCTCCCAAGGTCAAGGAGTCCTGCCTGCCTTTCTCTGGCCAGTGCAGACCCGAGAACTGAATTGTACTCTAGCTCGGGTGATGTGGGATAGAACCTGGATGGGAGCCGATTGGGTAGGAGTCTCCCATCCAAGACCACCCTTTTCCCACCACAAACTGGTGTCTAAAGGAGGAAAAGTTAAACAGAGGGACTTGAACTACCACCAGTTCGAGGCCAGCATATCTGTCTTTGAACTGCTGTTAGCACCTTTCACTAGCACTTTATTTAAAAGAAAAAAATCATTTTTTAATGAAAAAAATTAAAGAGGCCCTTCTCCCTACTTTACTCGTTAATGGTCTGAATTCAGAAACTGAAGTCTAGATAAATCAGGCAACAGAGGCGCCAGGCCTCTAATGGGGACTAGAGACAGTGCCAATTGCTCTAAGACATCCTGCCTCCCCCCTAACAGCGAAAACTGCAGATTTCAAACTGGGCTCCTGGAATGAGGTGCCTGGAATCTCTCCGAGACAGAAATCACTGGGCCATTTGCCCGACCTCCGCTGGGTCCTTGAACTTCTGCCACCGTATTCAACTTGTGGACCCACTGGGAGCTGCCAGGTCTAGGTAACAGTGTCCAACAGACGACAGGTTGATCTCAAAGACATAGAAGGGGAATGTCATGGGAATCTTCTCTCAGGCTGTTCCAAACTTGGTACCTCTCACGGAAAACAAATGTGAGCGCATGCCTCACGGCAGCGAAACAAACCTGAATTTTAGTCCTGCCTTTCACATGCTGGGTGACCCTGGGTAAATGACTAAGCTTTCTTAGTTTCTCTGTATACACAATGGGGACAGCGGTGTAGGTGGCCTCTAACCCCCTCCTAGCTCTAACTATGCTTGAACTGGTCTACGGACATTCACACAACAAAACGGTTAATGTCACTTTGATTTCTGAACCTCCCCGGTGGACATGCACAAATACATGCACACGTACATGGACCCACACAATGGTTGTTGCCTTTCCTCTTCGCAAAATTGGCAGATTCCTCTTCCCTCTTGCTCTGCTTTATCAAAGGGGAACCGTGGTGGGGAAAACATCAATCATTATAAAGTCAAAACTAGCATCCTGAATTAGGACGGGAGCTTGCTACAGAAGACACTATCATTAACGTATAATGTCACTGAGGATTTAGCAATAAACTACACGGACTTGATCACTGTAGAAAATCAAATTGGATAATTTAGGCCAAATACTTTTTTGGGTGGCTCCAACAAATAGGACAACACTTTCTGAATTTGCTGTTTAGTTTGTGCACAGAGGATACCATGCCTTAGGAATACACCTGCCAATTCTGTGGGGGTTGGGGGACTGATTTAAGTGTGATGAGTGGTTTGCTGGTGTTCAAACCCTTTACCTATATAGACCAGTATTTGTGCCCAGACGGAGAATTTTTACTGGCAGAGAGGGGTTGATTTCACCCACCCCCAATACTGCAGCTGTTCCCAGGAGCCAAATTTAGGAGATAGCAATTAAGCAAAGAGATAATACCAGTAACTTCTCACCTATTAGCTTATAATGTATC